AACGATACGGAGACTGTACCAAGCAATGGGAATAATACACCAACGTCAACGTGAACTCATCTTGCTGCATAAGTCGCGTGTCAAAGCGGTAAAGCTTAGTTAGTGTTTTGGTACAGAGCATTGTAATTGTCCTTTCTTGTCTTTCCCGTGCATAGCGCGGGGTGTTCCACTAATATTAATAACAATAGTTTTTCGCTAATATCACGAAAACTAGAGTTTTCCGTTAATTATGCATAAGGAAAAACTCGTTCGGAATCATGCCACTAATAACGTATTAGAAAGACATAAAAAACGTTCGAAGTTGGTTTCAAAAGTTAACAACAATTTTCGCTAATATCTCGAAAACAAAAGCTTTCCGTCAATTATGCATAAGGAAAAAGTTGTCCAGAATCACGCCCCTAACAACATATTCGAAGGATATTAAAATCGTTCGAAGTTGATTTCAAAAGTTAACAACAATTTTTCGCTAATATATCGAAAATTAAACTTTCCGCGAAATTTGCATAAGAACAAAATTGTTCGGAATCATGCCCCTGACAACATATTAAAAGCGCACTAAAATCGAGAAAAGTTTATTTCAAAAGTTGCCGGTTTTTTTGTAATAACAATACTTTGCAATTAAAAAATGAAAAATTTTTTGATAATGGTACCAATGGGGAGTCAGAACCTACCAGATGCAAAAGGTTTCATTCCGATCTATCCATCCAACTAGGTGTAATCGGCGAACATATAGTTTGTAATATACTATATTTTTGCTTGTATGTTTACTTAGAGCTTCTATTTATTTTATTTTACATTATTTGTTCAATATTCTTTTAATTCCTTTTATTATTATTATTTAGTTATTTATTATTTTATAATGCTATTGTGCCAAAGACAAATTGTGATATTTTAAGTTATTTTATAAATTATTTATTTACACTGTTATGTTATTTTATAAATTCTATTATAAATTGTTTTTCAGTTTTATTCTTGTTGAATATTATGAATGTAATTTTTGTTTTATGAATACTGATAAGGTTTTTTTATTGATTCTGTCCAATAAAATATTTTATTTTTATATTGTATATTTTGCGTACAGTTATTTTAGTACCCTTCCTTTACATCTGCTCCTCAAATATGAAAATATGTATATGATCTAATCTTATCCAACCTATACATTCATATTTCACAACCAAATTATAAAAATTTTTGAAAAATAATGAGGAGTGATTAAGGTACCCCATTTTATTGAAACTTATACTTCACTGAGACTAAAATTGCCGCGCATGCGCGAAAAAACCCGGCCCATATCTCATCACTGGTTGTAAGCCAGGGTTCCTTTTCCCCCTCTCTTATGCGTTGGTGTTGTATTGCCCAGGAAGTGGCGGTAATATTTTTTTCCTATCCGTTCATTTTAAGAAACTCACGAGCGGTTAGCCCAGCCGCGCGGGTTTCAAATATTTCAGCATAACAAAACCGATATAGAATATATTGTGCATATTGCAATTCTGAATCGTGATGATTATACATAGATTAATTTATTCGTTGCAAAAATAATTTGACATTATTTTGAACATTTTTTTAGAAGTGTTAAGAACTAAAAGTCATCGAAGGCTGTTAAGGAATCTAAATATCGAGTAGTAATGTAACTAAGACGTCCAGAGACACCAATCATATCGCGCAAATTCACGATTGTGTCTTCGATATACTTTCTTAACATTAGACCATATTGTCGGTTGAAGATCAGTTCAGAGACTTCCAACTTCTGGCTAATAAGGAAAGACACGCAAGTGTCCCCCTCCGATTTTGATGAAACTTCATAGATTTGTTAAGCAGGCAAAAGTAAGGGACACGTATTTTTTTTATCGGCTGAGACGCAGGTCTACCAATAAGTATAACATCTATTTTCATTTATTTAAGAATAAAATTATTATAAGAATATGTCATTACCTTACTCAGCATCAGTTTAACCTCCATATATCGCTCGTTAAACTTCACATTTATTTTCAAATTTATTAAACCGCGAAATCGTTCATTTTTGACGTTACCGATTTTTACTTTATTAGAGCAGAGTCTAATTGTTATTTTCTTGATTGCAGATTTCTTCAGATTCGTTTCTTAAAATTTATGAGACTGACGATATGAAATTATATTACTAGATATATTTTCCAGTTGTACTGTAAACTTTATCTTTTATCTGTTATGTAATTGTCTATAGTAATTTGAGTAAAGAATTAATAATATTTAGCATCACTAAACATTAAAAGTTACGCTCTTTTCATAATAAAATTTAAGTGCACTCGCGTTAGAATTGCCATGTAGAAAGTATTCTATTCTGCCTCGTGCTCAGATATCCCATTTTAACTGTACGTGATATTTTTCACTAAAAATAAAATATCCATTCAATTTGATGACCATAGAATGTAATATGTTATTTACAGTAATTAAGACTTTAGATGGAAGTTCTATAAAAGAACAAAATTGTAAACGCAAAATTGATTTTACTTCATTCTAACTTTTTCAAACTTCTTTAATGAGTATTTGTCTAGACAATTGACCACGAACATCAAAAGGAACAATCTGTATCTAAATACATATTGTTCGTGGATTACTTGCATATTGCAGTTGTTATCGCAGAAGTACAATGATATTCCGTTTTATCTACACATTTCGTTTTATCCAACTTTCCTATATATAATACATATACGGCTTTGGAATTCTAAAAGCGGACAAAACTGTGAAAGGAACATATAAGCGGAATAACTACATTTCATGCAGTACTTAGCTATCCAATCCTTACTGAAAGTGAATCGTTTATTTTCATTGAATTGTAAATTTTAAATGCGAGAACCTTAACATTTGTAAATTGAAAATTTATAGATCTCTCTATACACAATAATAAAGGAAGAGTCTTATTGTTAATAGAGTTCATGAAAATGCATGTGAAAAAAAAGTCTTTTCACTAACCGAGCGTGTACTGTTAATGTCACTTTTCTGATAGTATTAAGTTAAGAAGTTACATAAATATTATGGTCAAAATAATTAATATAGATATTATTTAATAACACTTGACTGTCGTAAAATAATGCAAATCAAATTTTGGATGGACGTTATATAGGGTGTTTAGTTTGTCATGGTCTTTTTAATATCTTTATTTATGTCTTTTATATCTTTATTTATTTTTGCCGATATGTTAAACTGTGTCAGAGTAAAATTGTTTGGTTTGTCCACATTTTTTGCACATTAACATATGATTTTCACAATACCATCATACGATCATAACATATGATTTTCTAAACAAAAATGTTTTATGGCACTATGAACTAGAAATGGGAAGCTCGGATAATCTTAAATGGAAAACCTACAATAATTTAAACGATGTTTGAAAATGGAACATTACTCATTTCTTAGTAAATTTACAAAATGATTTCCATTGGCTCCGAACTATTTCGGACAAGACTTTTCTTTGCAAACTCGAATTTGACATAATGTTT